CTGTTGTGGCCTCAAGCAGAACTGTACTGGGTAGAAGAAAGTACTCTTTATTTGCAGACTGTTGCAGAAGTGCTTTTGGATCCCACTGTGCCAAGCGCCAGGCAAATACACAATGAAAACATAGTTTCAGCACATAAAGTTCACAGCTGAAAAAGTAGCATATAGGCAATGGCTCTGCCTATAAAGAGGGCAAAACATCAGCAAAGACTGTGTTTCACAATTGCTTTAAGCCACATAATTACCTGTTTTGAGCCAGGTTGGTTTCTTGATCCAATTTTCTGTGGGGCTGTACAATCCCTACTGCTAATACAACGGAGAAAGCGGGAAGACAAAATTAGAGTGGACTAAGGAGGAGACTGCCTCTTTTGGCAAAATATCTGCATTTAGATCAGTTTAAAGGGACTGCAAAACTGTGGCCTTGATTATGGGGAGGTTATTGTTATTGTAGGATGAGTGCTTTTATGGAGGAGTCTTAGTCAGGTATGAAGGCCTTTTTCCAATGTAGCTTGTAGTGTTTGAGAAGGAATTTAAGCTAAATCAGAAACAGCCACTCCATTTGCTCTTTTGCCAGTAAGTTAGTGCAGGACATGTTGTTGCTTACATAACCGTACTTATATTTTATGGTGAAACTTTAGCATAGAGGTCAGGTCTTTAACAAATGATACATTTTTTAAGTGTTGGCTAATGCATTTTTGCAGAGCTTATCTAGTCTGATGTTTTAAAGTTGGAGTGTCTTGTGGCACTGTTTGGCTTGGCCTGAAGTGTTGTCAAGAAACTGTAAATCAGATAAAAATCAGACACATTGAGTTGATCAAAATGACTTTCATTTATTGAGATATGACATCCAATCAGATCATTCTACTTCTGTCCAGATTTAGTCAAATCCTGAGTATGGGGCAAAAGAAGGAAGTGGTTTGGGGTTGTTTGTTTATGGCAAACAAAAATGTTGTCCTTTTGATAGGCATCTATATGTAATGATTCATTTTGGTAATTGTTCGTTGGCTCCACTGGCAGGCTCCTATTAATGTGTGTGTGTATATAGCTATCTATCTCTCCATGATTTAACTTACTTGTAATAGCTTACGCTGTTATCTGTCCCTGGTTTGTTAGAATAGCCTGGCGTGTTACTGCTGGGGGGGCTGGAGTGTCTGGACCGGGGAGGAAGCTTGGTTGATTTCCCCGGCTTAGTGTTTACTTGGCCTTTAGATTTCAGTCATGAGCACGTATGCCCCAAGCTAACGGAGCCAGAAGGAAACCGAGCGATGTGCTTGTCCATCTGGGTAGAAAATACTTATAATACATAGTGCCATTATGGAGATAAACATTTCCACCCCCACAGTGGTAAGCGGCGGCGTTGTGTTTGGTGGCTGTGGCCATTGCGCGGAGGGTGCAAGCCACAGAGCAGAGCTCCTCCCGAGCTCACCTGGCCCAGGAGCGCACAGCATCTTGTCTCTCTGCACGGACCTCCTCTGGGAGAGCTGAGCCCTCCTCTAAGCGAGAGCTTCTTGAAAACACGGAGGACTGTTTTTTGTAATGAAGCCATTCCATCTTTTATCAGTTAGCATATTTTGGGTTGCTGCCCCCCACCATTTAGATATGAAGGCTCTTATACTTAATTCCCTTTATATACCTTAAGCACCAGAAGCAGGTACAGTAGAAAAGACTCATGTTAACCTCCTGTGTACTAGACTCACCCTTGCTGAATACCACTTTGTATCAACAGCATAAATCTGTTGATTACGCTTCCTCTGCAGTACAGGTTAAGTGAGCGGTGTAAGTCATCTGACAGTCAAAGCTGTAACGTCATCGTGTGCCAAGGATGGGGAACATGGTGTGAGCTTTCCCAGTTCTGTTGTATCAGGAAGGCTCTTGCATTTGGGTAGTTGTGGCATTTTATCATGGGGATGGGGGAGCTTTGGGTTTGAAGATACCTTAGAGTTTAACGTTTTTGATGATGACTGGTTTGTTATCTAGAATAAAAGTGGTGATTAGGTCAATTGTCATCTTTTCAGATGATTTAAAACTGTTCTGTCTCTCTCAGTGATGTGTGGTTATAAATTATGAGTTCCTTTCAGTGGTACGTTATCCTTGTATAATCCTATGGGCCTCATTTCCCAAATAGCTATATTCTGGGAAGTGCCGACAGATTTAAAGTAGCTTAGTGGACTTCTTGGTTTGATAATAATGTAACACCTTTGCAGGTTCTTGCCACTGTGTTCTCCTGGGGCTTGAAGCTTGCTTTCTTTTCCTCCTTTCTGAACAGTAAGCTCAAATCTCTCCAAAGTAATGTGATAAGCATGTTTTGCATGAGAACCCACTCACACTGAATGCAAACTAGCCTCAGTGTTGATTGTAGCCACCTTTCCTCAGACCCATTTTCTGTGGCACTGAAAAATGTTTGATTAATTTTGTGAAAGGTGTATGAAGGCATGTATGTAATCTCTGAATTTTATCTCAGTGTTTGCAAATGTAGCATCTCTAAATTTCTGTGCTGTGATTCTTTATTTCCTTTTACTCTATTTTGACAGGACTGCTAAAGCATTCATTGCTTCTGAGCCAGGGTAATATTAAAAAAATTTGGTTACATGCTTTGGATATGTAAACGTGTCAGATCGGTGGTATAGTCTGTCCTGTTTGCTTCCAGCAGCACACCCACTCCTGATGTGCATGCGAAGTTCAATGTATACTTTGCAAACTGGCTGAGGTAATGCATGTAATTTATGTCTTTGCGACATTTTGTGCCATGCCCTTGATTCTTCCGTGCACTTCAGTGCAGCTGTTATACCGTCTTATGTTATGGCTTATGTATGTGAAGGTGAATGGAGAGGCCTGAAGAATTTTTTGGCACAGGTTAACTAGGAGAAAAATGTGCTCTACATGGGTTATCTAGACAGTGAAAAATGCCAATTTAAACACAATTTTCATACTTAAGGCCTGCAGTCTTCATTTGGTAAATATTTCCATGGAAATTAGTGGAACTATTTACAGACTGGTTCTGCTTACACGGAACTCACTAGGGTAAACCAGCTGACTCCAGAGACACCATGTAACCAACTCTGAATAGCATTGATCTTTCTGGCCTTACATCATTTTACTTAACAAAACTGTCCTTCGTCTAGTGTTAAAATAAGAGTCAATAAATACTGTTTTGTAAAACAGAATTGACTCTGAATTTGTCAGATGACTTAAAGTTGTCTGAACCTGTTAGGAGCAATATGAAGAGATCTGAGTTTAAACAATAAATCAGCTCCTCATTCATGTTAAATTGAAAATTTACCCATTAAAATTGAATGTGAAAATTCAACCTTTCACATGAGAGAGAGAGATAGATATTGTGTATGTGACTTCAGGAATTAAATTGTGAAAAAGCCATCTCTCTTGGAAATACAATGCTGTTTTATTACTGACATGTATAAAATCAGTGTGAAGTACAATTATTTAAAATCCCATACATCAAGGCATCTTAGGACAATGTCCAGATTTGTTCCATAAGTGCTAAAACATCACAGATCCGATGACTAAAAAAATAATAATTTTGAATGTCATTTGATCGTACGGGTGTGAGAGTAGAACCTGGATTTAATCAGTTGGCTTCCCACAATGCTTCATTTTAAAGATTTGTTTTAATTAAAATAGTAATGCAGTGTGTAATTGCTCCAAATTTTTTTCTTCTTGAATTTATAATGGACTTAACCTATTACTTATGTGCTTTTATCTCAAATTTTGTTTTCATATACACCGATGTTAACAGCCTGTAGAGTTACTCTCAAAACTGGTACAGTAAGGTTAATAACCTGTTTAAGTTGAAAATTCAAGTTAACCTTACCTTACAAATAGGCTGGGAAAGGTGCCTCTTTCACAGTCCCCTCGAACGAAAGCTTAGGCAGCACATGTCTACAGGGTTACTATTTCCAAATACAGAGACAGCGCTGTCGGTGCCACAAATTTTATTAGCGGCTCTCTGAAGTCTTTTACTTCTCTATTGCAGCTGCTTTTCTAAGCTCACAGTGTCTCTTCAGCCTCCTTTAAGCAGAGATCAAACCTGTGTCCTCTTGGAGCTCCAGAGGTACTTTTTTTTTTTCCTGCCTTCTGTTTCTTTCCCAGTTGCCTTTATCTGGTGAGCACAAATGCACTACATGTCTTGTGGCAAAGCACAAGCCTGGAGCTGCGAAAGCCCTGTTTCCTGGCTAGAGAAAGAGAGTGTAAAATTGGAATAAACCCAAAAATATTTCTGTCTAAGATAAGGCCTTTTTGGCCATTGTTTGTAATTTGTGCTGACAGGGCAAAAGTAGTTCAAGTTTAAAATAAGCCTGACTGGAAAATACTATACTTTCTCAATTTCCTTTTCTGCCTTTTTTTCCAGGAGATGTTCATTTTCCCTTTCCCAGATTTTTAGCTTCAGCAAACATTTTGTTTGCACTAGTTTCATTTTTCACCAGTTATGCCAAAATGCAACCTCCAGATTCATAATTAAAGTTTATGGTATTCAATTCACATTTAAAATGACACTGGAGTATTAATTTTGGACTTTTTTCCCTGCACTATATTATTTTCCGCACTTCATTGCTGACTCTGAAACAGAGAGAGAATTAAATGTTAGTATTAAGATATTAACTGCCTTCTTGAGGCAGTTCGATTTTCTACCAACATTTGCGTGTTTGGCTGTGCTACGTAGATCAGCGCTGGAGGTGTGCCGTGCATTTGACTATGCCATGCACGCCGCAGCGCCTCAGGTTACCCGAAGGTTGTGTCACATCCTGTGGCGCTCCGTACCCTAATTTAGCCTGACATTATGCTTTGACTCATCACTTCAGATTAGGTACAGTGTGTGTACCCATACACGAGAGGATGTTTTTGTGCCGTACAGTTACCGTAAGTTGGAGGAGTCGGTGTGAAATGTTGGATGCGATCTTGGTGTTCAGGCTTCCTGGATCGGTGCGGTGGCCTTGCACCTAAGGAAATAAATCAGCAACCCACTAATGACGTGTTCTTCTCTCTAGGCAAGCTGACACAGGGGCCCTGAAGGAAAACCCACGGGAGAAGAGGGATCAGCTGTACCAGAATTTAGGCCACAAGTGGAAGACATCTGTCAGACCTTTGCATGCGCGAGAGCCTACAGTTCTGCCTCAGGAGAGCCGGGGGAGGTCTGGGACATTACCTAGTGATTACCGATACTCTCAGGAAAACGTGAATGAGAAGAGCAAGGATTGCAGCCTGCCTCATCTCCCCTGCTCTGAGCCACAGGCCTTGAACGAGAACTACTGTCTGTCCCGGGGCAAAGGAGAGGAAAACCATAGGGTAGAGCCAGCGCTGCTGAACAAGAAGCGTGGACCTGCTCCTCAGAGGCCGCCGCCACCTAAAAGAGATAAATACAGGCGACCAGATAATTCTGCGCCATCGCTCGTCACTTCTTCTGAATCTCTGCTGGTAGTGCCCAGCCGTCCCTTTCCATCCTCGTCCCCAAGCTCTGCTGAAGTATTTGCCGGTCCCTCCTCTCTCTGTCAGAGTCCTGCAGCTTCCAATGGAAAACTGAAGAGTGCTAATCCACAGCAGCTCCAGCAAGCATCATCCACGGAGAATGTTTGTCAGCACTTAGAAGAAAAAACAACGCACCTTAGGTCTGAGTCTGTATTATCTTCCAAGTATCGGTATCTTCAGAAACCTGGCATGGAGACATCAAGGTCCCCTTCTCCACAGTTTGCACCACAGAAGCTCACCGATAAACCTCCTGTGTCCGTACAGGATGAGAACCCAGCCAGGTACTAGATGTAACTTCTTTGCTATTTTATTAACACTTTTTTCCAGTGAAACCTTATTAATGGTTGATCTCTCTTTACTGTAAGCACATCCTTTGGGTTCATTAAGCATGAGCCATCTCAGCATGTCCTAAAGAGACCTAAGACTTGTGTGAAATTCCAATTGGTGCCATTAATGTTCTTCAGCTGGTCTGTGGTTTCTTTTAGTTGACTGATGCTGCTCAGGTGTTACAGCTGGTAGTTAGTAGAAAATGAAGGGGATGGATTCAAATGGATTTTCCATTGTAAGTCTAGGCAAATCAGAAGATACCCTGTCATCGTTTCCCCCACCTGAGTCTGTATATGGATATGAATCAGTGTAGGACAAAGCAGGTGTGGGAAGGGAAGCTGTATCCTTTGTGAGAGCAGCTGTTTTGAAAGCGCACACAGTAAGGTACACTGCCAAACCATGGCTGTTTTCATGTTGCTTTTACGATGAAACATGGCACTCCGTGTAGTCTGCAGAGGGGGCTACAGCAGTGTTTGTGTTGAGATGGGCTGAAGATTCAGCAGGAGCTTGTCAGTCCTTTCCCAGGCTAGAAAAACTCAGAATTAGACAAACTGACTGAAATTGATTGCTGTGTCTGTCAATCAGTTGATTGCTATGTCTGTCATATGCTGCTAATATCAGAAAAGGTTATTCTCCCACAAGATAACAAATGCTTCCAGGAAGCTCAGGAATCTTAGTTTTCATAAATCCTTCAGCACTGTAATTCATGGTTAAAGAATGAAAACAAAATCTCTGAGCTGAATGAATGCAGAGGTTGCTTCTGTGAGCAAAAGTAGTTGGAATAGCTTTTCTGCACTGCAATGTAAATGGTTGAATAGGCTCAATCATGCTGTTTTCCAGTGTGCCTTATGACATAGAAAACATGAATTGCTTGCTTTCCTAAACATGCCTTGATGTTTTTCCTCTTGTAACCAGAGGAAGAAAATGACATTTCATCCTGCGGTGTTTTTAACATGAAGTAATAATACAGTTTACTATGAAAAGGGCAACATGTCATGTGAACTCTATCTGTGCACAAAGGTAGATGACAGTAATGACTTCCTTAATGTATTGCTTTCACTTCCTTAATGTATTACTTTTTGAATAGACACTAAGGATGCATAGAAAGCTAATTGTATTTGTCCTTTCTTTTTACTAGGTTTTAATGTGGAAACGAGCACTGAGGTGTGCCTAATTATATGCCAATATCTGAATGATAATACACTTGCCCTGCAAATCTTTTGTTAACGTTTAAAATTCTTAAGCCCAGACAGCTCTTGTTTGTGCACAATGTATTGTCCTCAGTTAATAATTACATTACTCAATAAAACAGGTATGACAAGAAAGGAAAGACATGTGGGCAATACCTCTGAACCTTCTATATGGTATTTGCTATATGGTGTTTATTTCATATGAGTAAAATATGTCAAGTAGATTTATCGTAATATGCAATTAATTAGATTCAATTTATTACTTCTGTTGGCTCCTTGCATATGAGCTTTTGGACATGTCATTTTGCATGCTATGGGCAGCTAATGTTTGATGACGGCATGAGGCTGTTTACTCTTCTTTAAGAAAGGTGTCTTGTTTATCAACATGATAAACTGAGTGTGTGTGCAGGGTTTTAGGTAGAACAATGTAATGTGGGGAAATACTGGCAGTGTGCAGAACCCAGCTATTTAGCAATAATAAAGATGAAAAGAGTGCATCAGTAGATGTGCATCAATAGATTTCCAGTAAACATACACTCAGGTTAAGGAGTGACTGTGCTCGTGGTTGGAGTAAAGCTTCATAATGGCCACAAGCAGAGTTGCTGCAAATCAAAATTTCATGCCACAGTTCCACAAATGGAAAACCTTCAGAAATCAGGAGGATAGCACCTGGTGTTGAACTGTCTTTGCTCTGACTGAAATCAGTTGACTTAGTGATGCCTTAAGTATCTGGAAAATCTTTTACTAGGCTGAGAGGAATGTACTTAGAGTCTCAAAACAGATGCCAGGCATTTTAGGTAAAGAATTGCAGTCAGCTCACTTCTTCCAGTTGTCCCACACACACTTTTGCATGCATCTTGTATTTCCCCCAAACTCAAAAATGCATTCCTCTCCACAATCTGGTGAAGTCCAAAAGGTGTGTGGGCTTTATTTAAAAACAAACAAAAGAAAGGGGCAGGGGCAGTTGGCAGGCCTCTGCCCAGCTCCGCTGCAGGCAGGAGGAAAGGCAGGGAGCTGGGGCTGGGTGACGGACACAGGAGCGAGCTCTTTAAAATGACAGTTGCCTTGACTGAAAACACCCCAACCAAATGGGAATGGGAAGGGATTCAGCATGGGCTGCAAAACCTGCCCCAAAAGGTGGATCAGCATGCCAAAGCATGTCCGCAAAGCACTTGAGGAAAGTAGATACCTGCTGGGAGGCTGTACGTTCATTCAGAAGCAAATACACCCTTAAAATATAAGATAGGACATCTGAAAAATACCAAGTCAAACAGATTTTGCTATTCCCTCCAAAAGAAAAGTCCAGCACAATAAAGTATAAGTTTATTTTTAAGGGAAGTGACACACCCACACTTAGAGGAAAAGAGCCGTAGTATGTCTTGCTCACTTATCTGAAAGGCGGCAAGCTGCCCAGCCAGATGAAACCAGATATTTTAGCTAGTAGGCAATGTTCCTTCACTTGCTGTAGAGCTTCCAAACCCACATTATGACAATAATTTTAAACTTTCTGCAAACTCAAACCCACCAAATTAGTCTTCAGTTTTTTATATGGTTTACAGACAGTACAGATGTTTCAGTAATGTTATTTAACATGTTACTGTCCAATTTAAAAATCTAAGTTAGCCTCCTCTTCAAATAGCTTGCCTTACTGAATGTCCAAGGCAGTACAGAATTGTTGCTGTAAGCTTCACTTAACAGGAGGCTGTTTTGTCTTAAGTAGAAAACTAGGACACTGTGGTGGGATCTGTTTATTAAACTTCTGTATCTTGTCTGAATTTTCACAAATACAGATTACTTTTTTTTTTAAAATCAGGTAATTATGTTTTGAACGATTTCCAGGTTTTCCATGTGTGATTGTTATTTTTGCAGCTCAGCAAAGACCTAGCCTGCAGGATGCTTCCATCTGGTCTGTTGTCTCTTCCCTTGAAAGAGCTGGGAATTGATGTGAGGGTATCACAGACTCCCCAGGCAGCTAAGTTGCCCGTCAGGCCAAAAACTGAGGCCGCTGTTGGATCGGTGTGAGGCAATGAGGTTGAGGTCGAGGCGTATTTTCCTCTGTATGTGTGGCAACAAAGGAGTAAAAGGTGGTTTGGCAGCACTGCCTCAAATCTGGGGCCTGGCTGCTGAGATTGGACCCTGACGTTCCATGGAAACAAACATAAATCCTGTACCATGAGTATTGTGCAAGGCTGATGTTAGGATTACTTACAAATGAACTAATACTATTTAAAATGTGCGAGCAGAAAAGGAAACATGTAGATTTAGGGTTTGAGATACAGTGCAAAAAATATTCCATTACCTTTCATATTTGGACTTCCCTCTGATTTGCAGATAAGAATTGAGATGAAAGGTTCTTCCATTTCTAAAGGTGAATTTTCCTTATTTTCCAGAATTGAAAGGGTTATAGACAACAATACTACGGTGAAAATGGTTCCCATCAAGATAGTTCATTCTGAGAGCAGTGCAGAGAAGGAGAGTCGGCAAAGTCTTGTCAGTACTATGGAGCCTCCTGCTTTACCCAGTGGTTTGGAAAAGGACCAAATTAAAACCCTCAGCACTTCTGAGCAATCCTATTCACGATTCTGTGCTTACACCAGGCAAGGTGTAGAGCCAGAGCCAGAAGCCAGAACCAAACCAGCTGACCCTCAACCAGCTGAAGAACCTGGGAGCAACTTGAAGGACAGCAGTGCTGCCACGCCAGCAGTCAGCTACGTAAAGGCCAAAGAGAAGACCTTTGAAGACTGGAAGTCAGAGGAACTAGCCAGAGAGATTGTGGGAAGAGATAAATCTCTAGCAGACATACTAGATCCTAATGTGAAAATAAAAACAACAATGGATCTGATGGTTGGAATATTCCCTAAAGATGAACACCTCCTAGAAGAAGCTCAGCAGCGCAGGAAGCTCATGCCAAAAGTTCCTTCTCCAAAAATTTCGGAGGAGAAGTGAGTATTACTTTCTGTAGGCCAGTGGTTCCTTACAAGCTGCTGTCCAAAGTGTGTCAGTTTTCCTGAGGATCTTCTACTGTTGAGGTTTGGGGCTTTTCTAAGACCTTTCCATTAGAATTGCAGTCAAATGTAATACTGCTACTGATAGATACTACTAATGACAGAAAAAGTACAGTGGTGTTGTACAACCCTGAGACCTGGTTGAAAACTATTCATGTGAGAACTTAAGGAATAATTAACTTCTCCCATTTCATAGTGATTAGATATGTTACTGAGATCATCCGATCTAGTAACTGGATAGAGAAGGAACACTATTTTAGCCTTTTTTTATGTGATAAAAATTTACAGAGACATCTTGAAGTGAGGCATGAGGCATTTCATGGAAGTGAATGAGAACAAAGTAAGAAAAGATTTAAATTCCATCCATATTGATATTCTGTGGGTCTTTTTTTTTTCTTGATATGAGTTACCAAATTAAGTTGTAGCATTCTCGAGAAGTCCTTGTCTAATTCCATAATCAAAAAATAAATACTTAAGTTGTAGTATCCACATCTACAGTCTGAAAGGATACTCTCTGTGACACTGAGGTCTTTGCACTACTTAGTAAAATGTAACTTTAAATTTTTCTTCCAGCTGAGATATCTTAGATCCATTTCACTCATTGTAATGGTGAAAGGTCTTTTGCACCACTTCAGTTTTAGCTTTTGGTGGGCATGTGCTGAGTTCACACAAATTTTCTTCACAAACAGTACTTATTTATCCTATTTCCATAGGTAATGGCTTTCTGTAGAACCCCCTGCTTGCTTGGTGAAACGATGGCTTTGAAAGATTGTCCTTTCTTTACAGCAATTAGGGTGTCAAGGCAGTTAATCAAAGTTTTCACTTTTTACCAGGAAAGAGGAGCAGAGCACACCGTCTGCCATCTCCCTGACAACCAATTCTACTTACTACAGCACATCTGCACCAAAGGCAGAGCTGCTGATTAAAATGAAGGACATGCAGGAGCAGCAGCAACAGCAGCAGAGCGAGGATGACTCTGAAGATGAACTGGACCATGACTTGTCAGAAAAGAAGGTAAAAGACACTTCTAAAAGTGTAATGGAAGGCTCTTGGTTGTGTGCATTTCATTAACCATGAATTTCCTAGGTAAACACCCCTAAATAAAAGACCTTCTAGATGTACTTGGAAAATCAGCCTGGTTTTTTGGGGGAAGGAGGGCGAGCGGGGGCAGTGTTAAGTGTCGAACTGTGAATTTAGGAACTTCGTATTAGGTGCTTTTTGCAGCTTGATGCATGTTTTGGAAGGTCTCAATGTACACACACACACACACCCCCACACGCACCCCTCTCTTTTTTCTTTCTTCATTTATTTTCATGAGCAACAAACCACTTTGCCCTCTATTATTCCAAATTCCCAAATTAATAATAGTAGTGGTGGGAGATAGCTAATCGGCTCGGTGGATTCAGTGTAAGTTGCTCATCACAAGGGAGGCAGTCTTCTCCACTCTTGTTCATCCCCATCCTTTGGTGTTTTATTTCTGATCTAAGGTCAACATAATCCCCTAGGTATTAAAATGATGATATAATGACATTTCTGTGGTTTGAGAAAGTGTTGTCCTGTGTTGAAATCATCATACTCATCTCATTAGTGATTTGACACAAATTATTTTAATCATAGTTCCCAGTATGGATAAACTAGAGGAAATGGTCTGTTTGATCCATTAAAGTGATGTAGTTTAACTCTGTTTACTTAAGCCAGTAATGCAACGGTGTGCAAATCTTTTCTGTTAAAGTCAACTGTCTGCTTAATAATAACTGCCAGGGTGCATTTGGTAATCCAGTCCCAAAGAAATGTCTTTTAATTAAATATTAGGAATATATTTAGTTGCTAAGAATGAGAGATTCCATAGGATATTCCCACCTCTGGTTCAGTGCAGGAGTAGATGCCACTGTGTTTGAGGGGGCTGTAGTGTTTTCTGTTAGCACCCTGGGTTTTTTATCTCACTCAGCCTTCCCTCCCTCCCTCTCTCCCTCTCTCCCTCCCTCTCTCCCTCTGCCCCCAGTGCATGATACAGTTCAATACAGTGTACGCTGCCAGGGGCACAGTGGGGCTGCAGTGGGAGAGCTGCCCTTGCCCTCTTGCCAGAGAGCAACTGAATCCAACAGCTGTACTACTTAGACAAATTAAGGATTTCACTGCATTTGGAATAGTTTGGTTTCATGTGGTGCCACACGTGATGGTCACGTTCATCATTTTTGCTAGAATTAGTTTCCTTCTTGTTAATTACGGAGGGTATGTATGGGAGTGTTGAAATTAAACCTTTCTTGTTTGCCCAACAAACTAAATAATAAAACTTTTATAGGCAAAGGTGCCATTTATTTGTGTTGGTATCTGTTAACAGGAAAATCACATTTACTCTTTACGTACCCCTCCCTCCCCCCAGCTCCAGTATACACCACTAATCGTATGAGAGAGGAAGTATTTCATGAAGCGCTTTTAGCAGAGCTCCCCATCTTCTTCTCTGAATATACACATTGTTGTAGCCACACACACATTGCTGCTTACTTCTCTCCTCGCTCTTCCACATGCGGTGAGCACTAAGTTCAGTGGGCTTTCATCTTGGATCTTGTCAGAAATGGTGTAAAACTTGTGGTAAGTGGGTCAAGGCATCTTTATAAAAGAACCAGAATATATAACTTGGCCCAGCTTCACATATTTGGCAACAGTCTAACAAGGAATCGTTAAGGACCTGAACACTTTAATAGCACACTTTATGACTTCAATTATTTTAGAGGAGGGATACGCCTAGAACCTGTTCCTTGATTCTTAGAAATCGGTCGGTTCTGTTACGAGATATCTTAATTGCAGTCCACTGTGGAATGATTGTAATATTTGTCATTCTCTGCTCTGCAAACCAAAAATGTGTGGTGCTTTTTTTTTTCCCCACTCTCTTTTGAAATAACTATAGGAATTTCATGTAGAGTCATTAATGATTTATTTTTAAATTTGAGATGATCCCTGTATTCCCAGCTAGCAGGAAAGAAATGTGTGTGTCTCATGCACTGAATTTAATGTAGGTTTGCCACAATTATAAAATATTGAACAGATGTTGAAGACACTACAGGAGTGTTGTTTGTAGTAAGGAAAATCCACATGTGACTGAGTAGGAGGTGTCCCCTTTGCCTTTAGGAAAGTTTCAGCAACTCCTGAAGAGTATAAAAATAATTGAATACCAAATTTATTCTGCTTTTAGGCCTGAACATCATGTGAAATGGAGTGGTGAGGTGAGAGCATTTACATAAAGCATGCCAAGCAGTGAACCACCTGAGCAGCACTGCTGAGCTACTTTCTGTCTTGCTAGTCAGATCAGCAAGAATTACTGGAGAAAGATCAGGTTTTCTTGTTTACTGATACAGAATTCACAGCTATAAATTATTCATCTGCCAGTTTCAAGATGTAGATTGGAGCTCTTCTGGCTCAGTAGATACTGAACATAATACAGGTTTTCTGCTGGTTGGCAAAAGCATGCAGTGAGCTCACAGCTGCTGCATCCAAAGGCTGCTTCATCTGGGTAGGAAGCAACCAGTGATCATAATCCAATTCTTAATAGATATGATAGTCTTAAAGAGTACTTACGGCCTTCTCACCTGCAAAAACAGTCCTTTAGAGGCTACCTTCAGCTCCTTGGGGACATCTAAATAGGATGCTACTGGAAAAATGGCTTTTTTTTTTTTTTTTTTTTTTTTTTTTTTTAGAAACAGACTCTATGAGAGCGCTAATCTGGATTGTCAGACCACATTGGTAAACGTTGAGCAATCATACAGCTTTTTTTCATTCAAGAAAGTCACAGCACAGCTGCAGAGGTGAAAAACTCGAGATAGTAACATAAAGCACAAGAGTATCCTGTTGTGTTTCGAATGGTAAAGCAGCAGCATTGTGCATGTGCATGTTATCTGAGGGAAATGAGAGCGTAGCACTGTGACCTACATAATCCAAATCAAACTGCATTTGCATGGAGAGAGGCAGGGAGAAAAAAATCAAATCCTGCAGATTAATCAGTCAGTAAAGCAGGCATCTGTAGAACTGCTTACTACCTTAATCTTTTGGGCACCCAGACTAACAGATAACCCAAATCCAGATTAACCTGGCCTGAGTATATTAAATCAAAATGGAGAAACTGGTCTGGATAATCCATTTGTTGAATTTCTGCCTTCAAATAGTTTGTTACATTTTCACATTTTCAGGATGCAGTTGCTTTCTTTTTTTTTTTTTCTTTCTTTTTCTTTCTTTTTTTCTTTCTTTTTTTTTTTCCCCAGAATAAATTGGCAGTGACTGTTCAGTGGCATCTGAGAGTGGTAGCTGCTATCAGTATGTTTCTTGGTAATCATGAAGGCTTGTAATGAGATTTGCATTTAGAAAGCAGAGTTCCTAAAGAATGTCATGAGTAATTTTTTTTTCAACAAAAATTGAAGGGGTACTGTGGAAATAATGGCTAGTGTAAAAGATGTAATTTTCATTTAGAAATTGCACTGGCGTGTATGTTTAGAGAACACTTTGGGAATTTTTCTTACATAAAATTAGCTGAATACTAAATAGACATCTACCTCTGAATTAGTGAGGCATTTTTAGGGTGTGATTCATCTCATGGTAGGGTAGACGACTAGCTGAACTGAGTTCCACCCCTTGTGCACAAGCGAAAGCTAGTGGACATGTAAGAAACAAGCCCTCTTGCCCAAACACAGAGAGGTGGCCAGGCAGCACGGGTGGAACACAGGGCAGTGAGGGAGATCATCTGGGTTCTTGGTCTGGCTCTGCTGGTGATGCACCTGACACGCTTTTTCAAAGCCAGGGCATGTGCATCCCAGGCAGTGGGGGGTTATACTAGAGAAACTCCCACAAACTCTGGGTGAGGTGGTATATTCAGCTGGCATAGGACAGTGACAGCCAAAGGTGCTTCTTTGGTCCTTTGGCAGAGCCACTTTGCACAGCTTTGCACAGGGCTGCTTTGTATGATATAGAAATAGATTTTGTTCCCTGTTCTGTGCCACAGGGATTATGATTTGCCTACAGAAATGTTGTAAGGCAGCGTCAACGCGATGATTTTCTGAGAGTGGAAGGACTGCTATTGGAGGGATGTTAATATTATGCAGAAAGGAAGAAAAAGCTAGACAGTGCCCTAGTTTTAACTGCGTCATGTGGAAAATACAGGATTTTTTTTTCCTGGTACTGTTTATCTTCCTAAGTGTAGCTCTTCAGAAAGGTATTATGGACCTGGTGTTTAGAGAGAAAAGGATGCGCTGTACTTTATGCTGCCCCATAGCAGGCTTTGAAGCTGTTCAAAGAAGCAGCAGAAATGCTTGCTGGGGGGTGGGGGGAAGTCCTTCATCTTTTGCTGCAAAGGTAAATTGCTTTAATGCAGTTCTCAGGATGTAGGTCTATGATGCTCAGCTTGAACCTTTGAATCCAGAGGTATACACCTTAGACATATACTTAGACGTGTATTTTTTTGTAATGCACTCATTGTCAAAGCCACATGGGAGTTTCAGTGTATTAAAATGCTGGATTTCTGATATGACTTTCAGAATTGGGGAAAAATGCACTAGTGCTAATAAATTCTCATCCCCTTTATTTTCCACAGCAAGAACTTATTGACAGCATTAGTAGGAAGCTGCAGGTGCTGAGGGAAGCACGGGAGACACTTCTGGAAGACATCCAAGCAAACAATATACTGGGGGAAGAGGTGGAGGCCATTGTGAAAGAAGTCTGCAAACAAAATGAGTTTGACAAATTCAAGATGTTCATCGGCGACCTTGACAAAGTGGTCAACCTCCTGCTGTCACTATCAGGTCGTCTGGCCCGGGTGGAAAATGCCCTTAATAACCTGGATGAAAATACCTCTCCGGAAGAACGGGTGAGAAAGGCCAATAACAGTATCACTGCATTTAGTGAACCCGGTGTGGGGGTTTTTGCTTGGTTTTGTTTATCTAAATGGCAGAGTTCAAGATGAGGGATAGTGAATGGATGAATTTCATAAGGCCATTTTCCTTAGATTTCTTAAAACTTTTCTCTTTGCCTTGCTTTTGCTTGGAATACTAAAACTACAAGTGGCTTGGTGAGCAAAAGTGGTATTTTGGGGTGCAACATACTGGAAAACAAAAAGCAAAAGTTTAAAGAGGGGAACTACTGATAAGACCATGAAAAGGAGTCAAACAAAAAATATTCTGACAATTCAAGATGGGAAAATGAGTGTCACTTTGTGCTGTAATGCAGAAAGCTTACAGCCTGCTTTATACTCAACAAGGATCTTGACAAAAATCTATGAGGTAGTTGCAAAGAAAATGTTTCTTATCTACTACAGCTTCCTCCATGTTGCATAGCAAGGAACAAGAGCAAGAAATGACAGAAGGACAATCCTTACTAAAAAAAAAAGAGGGGGAGGGGTCATGAGGGAGGCATTGCAAAAAGAATTTTGCAGTAGAAAACTTATTTTACCCAACCAGAATAGCCCTGTAGTGATGTGGAGGAATCCCAGCAGATGTGAACATTTCAGGAGCGTTCGAGGTGCTCTTACCTGTTGACTCCACCTCTGCGGGCAGCACTTTGTTTAGCTCCAGATCCCAGCAGGCCTTAGCTGGGAAGCAGATACCTAGCGATACAGATATGCACCAAAGGAGAGATGTAGATATGTGTGAAACTTAAAGGCTTAAATAAATAGAGAGGGTAGGAGGTGGGTATGTGTCAAGTGAGTTTAGCTTCTACAGTTAAATGAACGTGAAGTGGGATTTTTGGCTTGTAGCTGTGGACTAAAATGCCAGCAGTCCACCTAAGTGTTGTAACAGAATTTTTTCCACAGGCTGTGGATTCATGTTGTGTTTCTTCAGCGTGCTCCATTGTTTCACCAATAAGAACCAGTAAGTGCTGGGACTAGTTTGAAGCTGTGTTTTTGCTGTTTGGCCCTAGCTGCTGCCAAACATACTTGTTTAATGGCTGCCCAGACCCCTTTCTGACTGAGGCAAAGGGAAGGTATTTGACAGCTTATTAGAGGGCAGATCAAAGCTGCTGAAACTTAAAGAAATTTAATCCTTCTTTCGACTTCTTTTTTCTAAATGTGGTTGCAGTTGCCTAATGGGCTCAAAGACGGGAGTGTGAGCTGGGGAAAGAGCTACCAGATGATACGAGCATATAGGAAACACAGTTTGAGAGCTGTGATAAAAAATAGCTTGTTGGCTAGGTGTGGAGAAGGAAGAAGGTGAGTAGGTGGTATAGTAAGGGCAGCCAGAAATTGTCTGGGTGCTTTGCTGTCAAGTTTGGACTGACAGAAATCCAAATCCGTAACATACTCTAATGCCCATTCATCTTCTCATGCACTGACACCAAAGTCTTGCCACAATAACATCAGAAATACATCTAAAAGTGTTGGTCAGAGATGCTTCTCAGATGGATCAAGTCCCCAGGAACTTTGACTATAAATACAGTGCATGTAGGGTTACATGTGCATGTCTTTGAATTTAGACTAGTGCGTGTGGCTTTTTTGGTTGTCCTTTGGTATTTTGTAGGTCACATGACGATATTTGGTGTACTACTAATGTACCATATAAACAAAACACGGGAGATTTACTTCCATCCCTGGGGATTGTGTGCCTAGTGATCACTGATTTTTATTTTCTTTTTAAAGATGATGTTGTCTAATAAACATTACTCTGATAGTTTTGCATTTTATAGGAACCACCAACAGCTCTGCAGACTTCTAAGCAGTCTGTCAGCAGTCACATAACGGCTGCTGAATTAATATTCTGTCTATTAGATGCTCTGTTATAGGTCTCTCTTGCCACAGGGAAGAGTATTTCTACTTCTGAAAGGGGCTGCTTCTGTAATTGCTACCAGCCCCCTTCCTTCCACACGGTGAGACCAGTGTCTTCTCATTACTTTCTTTACCAATCAAAGCCAGAGTGGGTTGAGAACCATAAAGTGCTGAACCAGAAGTCCACGGATGTGATCAGGTGGCTAGACCCACAAGACCTGTTACTGCAAGGCTAGGGACAAGTGCCAGGGATAGTAGTTTAGGAACTGGATGCTGGGAAGTCAGATACATGGAGGGAGTTCCTCTTCACATGGCTGTGGTTCAGAACAGCAAACAATTCTTGAGAAAGACTCTCATTAGAAAGAGCCAAAGGTGGTTTCATTAGAGGAGCTTCAGGTGGCCTGTGTTTGGCTGGATCTTCAGAGCAATGCTAACTGCAAAAAACCCCTCTGCACTCTGCTTGGCTTTGGCTGGTTGAAAATGGTCAAATGAAACCATCTGACATCACTTACACCTTTAGGCCTGGTGAGCCATTTACCCGTTGCTCAAAGAACCTCCTCAAGAATGGTGTCTTGAGCCTGCTACAGTGTGTTCACTTTACCCTTCAAAACAGGCTTTCTGGTGTCAGTCATCTTTGACAGAGGTAAAAAAGCAAATTCAAGACATACCTCATTTTCTTTCTTCCTTTCTGCATCCCACTTCTCTTGGATATTCACTACACCTCCGCAAGGACCGAGGTACTAAGGTGTCATGCAAAGTTCATAACAAAAGTAGCCTTTGCTTGCCTTAAACTGTCAGGTTACTCACTTTCATCTTAAAGTCGTGCCTTAAGCTTGGTAAGAAGAAACCGTAGAACTTAAACCCCAGGAATTTTTATGAAGGACTAAACATTTGATTGTTCTTGTGTCTGTGGACAGTAATAGTGAATGGCTTGACGAACAGAGCTACTTCATCCCAAGGTTAGGTGGGTAACTCTACAACTGAGCTACCAGCTGGTTGCTGTATGCCCTCTTGAGGTCAACAAATTCTGTCTAATTCTTCTGTTTCTCAGTGTGTGCACATGCTGCAAGGCTGCCCTGGGGAGCGGTCTAGCCACGCTTCAGAGGCTGGGCTTGGCTGCTAGTGCCCCTGGTGAATTCAGAAGAACAGTTCTTCCACCTCTTTGTAGCAGATAATCCTGCTTGCAACTTGCAGTGGGATTTTTTTTTTTCCCTGGCAGATGCTCAAAGGAAAATGGAACTGTGGTTTTTCTAATAAAGTGTGATTTCTGTGACTTGTCTTCCATAGCTGTCTTGAATCCTGAGTTAATCTAGGCTGTATATTTTAAGTACATTGAGAGCACAAGCCTCAAAGCCTTTCACCCTCTGAGCTTTGTGCTGTCTATAGAAAAAGAGGCAGCACAGGATACCTGTGCAACTCTGACAGATAGGTCTGTTAAAGCTTGCTGGTCTGTATCCCCCTTTGTCTCATACTTCCATCCTGAAAGTATTCTACTTTGTAGTCTAGAAAAACACTTTTCTGTAAATCCTTTCGGCTTATTACAGCATGTGTGATTTAACATAAAGTCCATATGAAAAAATGGACACATTTATTTGAACAGACTGTGGTTTATTTGAAGACATGGGTTCTCAGAGAAAATTCATCTCTGAAACAAAGCTAACGGTTATGGAGCAGTACCTCTTAGGGGCACTTCTTAATTAAGTTCAGAAGTCTGTACAGGAATTCTTGACATCAGAGTAGGCCATGCTCTGTCGCCGGACAAAGGCAATCACTTCTAGGCAGACATCTGAAATAGGTCAGATTAATAATGCTCCTGTTTCTTTCCATATACTGCTAAAGGAGTGTAGCTAAGTGATTCAGGTGTGGCTGTCTACTGTGTAGACAGATGAAGTAGGGTGAGATGTACTTCACCCTTCATGTGCTCATACATATTTGTGGATGGGATATAGCTCCTGTCCTCTTTCTTGGTGTGTTTCTCCATTGAAGCTCCCTTTTTCCTATTTTGTCTTGATGCTTTTTTCTTTTTTTTTTTTTTTTTTTTAACTTCCCTCCCATTGTCTTGCCCCAGGTCTTGCTCATATCTTAAGACCACACGACTTCATTTCTCGTGGAGAGCCCATGTGGATTGCAGGAGAAGTGCAAAATACTGCAGTGTCAGGAGCTGTTCTTATAAGAACAAATCGCTCCGTTAATTAGCTTGTTTGTGGGTTCTCTAACCACAGCTGTTTCAGTGTGGAAGTTCGGTGCTGTGTATTGAAGTTGTACTTTGTTGCTGAGTGAAGTCTTAATTTGGAGAACTTGGATGTTTCTCAAAGGCAACTGTATTTTATAGAACTATTTTTAACTATTAAATAGTAAAGTTGTCTTTGAAGTTCTTGCTGTTGAAGCCAATAGAAATTAATGATGCATCTTTCATTGATTCACTACGTTTTTTTCCTGTTAACGCGTTTTATTAGATTACACTTTAAGGAGCAATTTTATTCCACCTCTCTATTCAGGAAAGTGTTTGTCTTTGCAGATGAAACAGGCTTGAGACTTAAACACTGAAGCTGTTGTCCCAGTCTGGTGAACCCAGTAAATTTTTAACTGTCTTGTCTTTTCTCCTAAGCGGACCTTGGTAGAGAAGCAGAAGCTGCTGACTCAGCAACACGAAGATGCAAAAGAGCTGAAGGAAAACCTGGATCGTCGAGAGCGCATTGTCTTTGACATTTTGGCGAACTACTTGAGCGAGGAGAACTTAGCAGACTATGAGCACTTTGTAAAAATGAAGTCGGCCCTCATCATTGAGCAGCGAGAGCTTGAAGACAAGATCAAGCTGGGGGAAGAGCAATTGAAGTGTCTGACCGATAGCCTCCAACCTGAACGGCTCAAATAAGAGGACGGAGTTTGACCAAGGATGTGAAAAACGGGGAAAGAAGGCAAGGACGGGGAAGTTTCCAAGCATACCAATGAGTATCTTGGCTTGTCTGAGTGTCCAGTAGAGAAACAAGTGCACAAGAGTAAAATAGCTCTCACAACAGCAATAATGCTCTCTTTCATTTTTTTGGTATGATGTATTTAAATTTTTAGAACACATTTTTATTGCTGGACTCTACAGCTGTTTCTCATTGCTTAACTTACAGACGGCTCCACAGAAAAGGATAGACAGTTAACCTTTCTGCTCAGTAAGTTGAAAGTCTGTGGCAGTTGCGCATGCAAGCAACAATGGTTTTTAGAATAGGTTGTATACTTTCTTTATGTTCAGATGCTGTACAGACTGCTGGGAAACCTCACAGCAATTTATGAATACACACAAATTTAGAAGTTCTAAATTTAGTGGCTTTTTTTTTTTAAAGACACATTAAATAGGGGAAACGTGCATCTTATAGCTAATATATTCAGATTGCTGAAATGTAGTGTCACTCTGATCCTGTGGCATCAGACACTTTTTTGTAATATTGTATGTAGGATGGCACTTTCCCCTTGCAGAAAATAACAATCATCTCAGTTAAACGCTTAAACCAGCTTGCTAAACACCTAATGGCTACCTTGCTGAAGATTGTTTTAAAAAGTATTTTGCAAGACATAGTTGTACACCTTCTTACTGCAATGCAAGCGATTTTCTTTACCGAGTTGTACTTGATTTAAGAAACCGGCTGGAAGTACTGCGCTGATTTTTGTTCAAAACATTTCTCACCTAAATTATTTAGAAAGCTCATTTGCTCTTTCTTGTGCTTTTTATGCATGTTTTTATTCTTCCTCCCCCAAAACCGCTACGCTTTATGAAAATAAATGTAGGCAAAGGACACTGTTTCTGTAATTCTTCTGATTGCTCAACACCGTGATGATTTTATATAGACAGTTAAGTTATACTGCAGTTGACCTACATAATGCTGTTCATTCTTTCCTCTTTCTCAGACTACCAAATGCAATATAAACAACTTCTGCCATGTAAATACTGTGCATTACTTGGAGCAACTCTGCTTTGTAACTGTGAACATAAGTGGGTTTTGTTTGGTTGTTTTTTCCATTGCACAATGATAAATGAGAGAATGCTAATTCACCGTATCAGATCACTGGTTGTGTTCTAGTAATACTGCCATTGACTTAGATGATTTCTAGTAGCTCTAAAAAGAGGTGCAAACTCATGTTTTAGCACAGAAAAAGGTTACGCTGACTTGCTCAGATACCTACAGAGAAATTCTGTACTGTCTAAACGTCAAGTTCTATATTAAGATAAAGTTTTGCAGGCAAAGGAAAGTCTTGGATGACTTTGTGTATATGCCATTTACATTGTAGTACGGACATTTATCTCTCGGTAGACAAACAGGTTGCCCAACAAGAAGCCATTTTCGAGGTGAATGTGAATGCCAGTCTGTAGCTAAGCAGGTTGAAAATACAAGTAGTTAGGTGTTGAAAAGAGGGAGAAAAGAATTCTTCCCGCTATTCCTGCAGTGGCAGCATTCACAAAAGGTTTCCTGTCCTTCTTACCCGAATCCTCTCTTTTGCGGTGAGAGAAGCGGATTCCTTGCGAGTTGGGGAACTGAGGAGCAAAAAATCTTCTGGAACCAGTTCCTTTATGGACAGAATCAAACGTTAAAAGGACTGTTGCCCCCCTTATAGTGCACTACTTTGTATACCTGGACCAAATCTTTAATGAAATTATGTTGATGTGTATCAGCTGAGGTCAAATGGAGCTACCATTTTACAAGACCTACAGCTGACCTTAGTTGCTTCCTCCTAGTTCAGAAATGTAGTCTCTGGCATCTCACAGTTATTTGCTGCTATGTTCCTAGGACAAGTGGTCCCTTTGTCCTTAAGCTTATCCCTTAACCATAACAAACCCAAAACTAAACAATTCCCAAATAAATTATGCTTGTCTTTTAGCTTGGAGAAAAGTGTGCATTGTTTTATCTGTGGCATTTTAAAAATTTTACATATTGTGGTTACTCTGAAATGTGTATGTGAAATGTGAATAATAATATAATTACAATGTGTTTGTATACAGTACTTTGATTTAGATCTTTCTGATAAAAGGTAGCAATATTGTGAATGCTATATATATTATCCTTTTCACACAACAGTTACGTAGACACTGTTCTCTCCTTTCCTTTTTTAAAACTGTGTTGAAAATCTCTTGCCCTGGGAACCTGAAGATGATTGCCTCCCAATGTTATATGTAAATCTGTAAATAGCTATACTGTTGCTTTTTGAAAAAATCTGGTGCTAATGTTTTGCCTTTGGCATCCTGGGGATGGCTGTTTCTTCACTCTATGTGGTTCTCAATTCTAGAACTCTTTGTATAGTGAAAGATTTCCACTGTGTTTCTCCAACTGTTTGGATCTTGCAGCCCAGAGTGAAAATGTACAGTTTTCCTGCCTGACACCTAACACTTACCTACTGACAAATGGTATTGCTTGACTTTGAGAAAATAAACTGTATATTTCAATGTAGAGTTAGTTTGTGTGTGCAGTTTTAAGTGTCAAAGCCTACTGTTCTGCTGAGCCGTGCTAGCCATCTCGTGGTGCCCATCGACAGTGCCTGTAGCTTTTAGAGGCCAGGCCAGGTGTCTGATGGTCTGAAGTGGCTCACTGTCTTTTCACAGACTATTTAACATGTTGACTTCATTGATCGTTCTCGAGTGCTCAGTGTAAGCAGGTACCAGAAGGGTGTTTGTGTCTGTTCAGTAGTTTAAGTGTGTGAGCGTGAGAGGGCAGAAAGGAAGATGTGTTATAAGGTGGATAAAATAAATCAATTTCTCACGACTTAGGGAGTATATACCAAGGTAGGAGTTAAAATTTTTCTGTTTGGGCAATTACACTGTTTTGGATTCATCCCGTGTTTAGAATGATATTTCATATGGAAATACCTAAAGTCGGTGGTTCTCCAGATTTTTGTGCAAGAACAGATCACTGTGAACTCTCCATCTCTGATCTACTGCCACAGAAACTGTTTAATTTCATTTTAATGGGGGTTCTCAGATTAACTGCAGAAGCTTCTGCCTTATTGGGAAACACTGTCAAGTGTGCACAAATTTGTTGTAGAGGTCACCACAGATGTTGTTTTATGGCTTGATAAATCATTCTGGAAATTAATTGTCTCTGAAGGTTTTTATGGTAGGAACTATCTGGGAAAAGGAAGTTAGGGAAGGAAAAATACGTGGATATTTGTAGGATTTTTTTTAACATCTAACAATGCTTTTCACTCCCTTCTTCATGTACATGTACCCACCTCTTTGTGCCTGCTTTCCTGAGTACTTGGTATAATCCAGGGTGGCAGCTGTAGGGGAATAACAGTCTAGTGTTTGTGTACTGTTTGAATTGGAAAAAAACCCTGCTTTTCTTTAAACTGAAATTAGGCTCTTTATTTTCTGTTTTGGGGTATTTGAGACCCTCAGATTTCAAAGTCGTCACCATTTCACAGTGTTGTTTCCTAATCAAGCTCTACTGATTAATTCTGGTGTACGTAACTGTCTCAGGTCTTGCAGCTGAAGGAATCTGTTGGCACTCCGGTAGCTAGCAAGGCGTTATGATGGGTGCACGGTAGAATAGTAACTCCTATTTTAATGGTGTCCAGTCATCTGTTGCAGAAGTTCATAGGTTTGTCCTAATTAAGGGCTTCTCAGTTGTGGGGTTTTTTTAGAGTATAAATTGTTTTTTCTACATACTTGGGTGGAAACTGCCCACAGAGTAGATGCTATAAAAATTACTAATTACATCTTTAAATTGCTGGATTATATATTGGCAATTGTCAGCAGTGGTAAATTGGACATCACATTAACTTACCGCAGTTCCAGTCTGTAACTTAACTAATTATTAAGGATCCACAAATTGTACGATGGGTTACTCATGTGGTTTAGCAGTTCACCTCTGAAATCCTGGGTTTCGTTCTCCCTACCTACTGTTTTGATAATGTTTCTATGAATAAAGTACGTTAATTGCAATTTAACACACCTCAGGAGAAAAATCTGAGTTGCAGTAAATTCAGTGTAGTTCAAATAGCAGAAGGTAACTTCTGTCCCAGAATACAACAGCACACCTACAAGCAGAGCAGGTGTGATCTTCTCAATGCCATGCTTAGGACCTTTGTTTCAGTTGTAGCCGTGTGGGCAGATGCTTTCTGTGGCTGTTGTTTATCGTAGCCTAAGAGTTTTATTTCAGTCAAAGCAGTTGAGCCTTTCCTGAGAACAAGGCTAGTAAAATTATTTTTTTCTTTTTTCCTTTTTCTTTTTTTGCTTTTTCTTTTTTTTGCTTTTTCTCCCCCCCCCCGGTTAAAAATCCTCACAACGGCTCCGTTTTTAGATGCTTTGTTATCTCTGTCTTGGAGGCAGTCTCCTAAATTTGGCAGGGGGCGATGGCCTTGTGACTACGCTGCGCCATCCGCTACTGCCAAGCACGTCAGCATTAGCGGAGTCCGTCGCTACAAATGTAATTCTCACTGCCTCTAATTCTTCTGGATGCAACAAACTGCTGACGGGCGAGGTCAGCAAGGAACTCCCTGCCTGTCATTGCCTGCTGCTGTTGAAAGCCTTGCCTGTTGCTGGCTGCTGCCACGGTGGGATGGATACCCAGAGGGTGTGGAGTACGAATGCGGTGGTTTCTGGCATCTCTTCTGGGATGAGGCAGGGTGAGGAAGTCTGTGCATCTCCTGCTCGCTCGGTGTGAGTTGTTAACCTAAAACACAGTAGTACCACTGGAGAACAACCAGATTCCCGCCCACTTTTATTGAAATACTTTTATTGCTATTTGTGATGGCCTGTCTTAACACAGGAGAGATTTTAATTAAAGCAAATAGATTTGTGACAGTAGAGCTGAAGATGCACAAGGTGTTGAAAGATACAGAAGAACGATCATACACAAATCTCCAGCAAAACAGTATCTAAATGAAGCCTGCGTGCTACAAGTCACAGGCGAGACTACTCAAGAATTCTAGGTCTGTGTTCATGTATTTTAATGGAGTTAGTGAAAGAAAGGCTTTTCTTAAGCATATACTGAGTTGCAACGGTGTTAACTAGACTTCATTCTTTCCAAGCAACTTTGGTGAGAGGAGCCAGTGCTAGCTCTGAACAAGCTGTGGCCTGACACGCATTACCAAGAGCTGTTAGCTTGCTGCTCTTCCTTGTGGTAGCACTATTTGCTGGCCTCCTGGTGGAAAGCATATTCTGTAAACTGAGTAATGGAGGTATAGCTATCAGAGTTTTACCAAAATTTTATTTTGGTAGAGCTGTAAAGTCCAAAAGCCTGAGAAGAATTAACAAAATTCTCCTGATGAAGATTGTTTCAAGCGTTTAGTTTCAACATGTTTCACTTCCCAGCTGTCTGCTCTTCATAACATGTTTGTTACTGATAAATTAGGCTTGTGTCTTTTCTAACAGCCTGAGAGAAATATCAATACAATGAGCAATTGCAAACTAAATAGTAAGCAATGGAAGATTAGATTTTTTTTCTTTTGGTATCTAAATAGAAAAGCA